CGCGATGTAAACTGTTTGCCACACGACTGGACCGCACGGGGCGCAGCCTGCGAAGGCAGCCGCAGACACCTCCGCCTCCTTCAGTCGTCGTGGCGGTGGAACCCGCAGATTGTCAGACGCCAGCACATTTGCCCCCGACGCAGCCAACAAAAAGAGTGCGGCAGCATATTCCCCGCTGCAAGAGCAGAAGCAGCAGCCCCACTCTGCGGCCACCGCACCACCCACTGAGAAGCACACATTCTTCTGCATTTCTTTTTTAGGCCACCCGCCCCGCAAGGCTCCGCCACGGCAACGCATGAAAGCGGAGGCAAAAACACCCCGCCACCGTCGCCACACACCCAAAAGAAAGGCCCAAAGATGGGGCACGACAAAGTGTCTGCGCGGACGCACCCACAGCAGCAGCAAACTCAGACAAAAGAAGCCACCCACCCCGTGCCGCGCCGTTGTAGTTGGCGGCGCCGCGCTTCAAGACAACACCCCCACACGCAGCGCACTGCCTTCGCAAGGAAAGGGAGTGAGCCACGGCGCACACTATTCCTTTGTCGTTGTCTCGGCCTCTTCATAGCCACCACATGGCACTGCCAGCACCAACTACGAAAGCATCCTCCACGTGCACTGCAGTAAATATATGTCGTGTACGTGTGTGCCTGCAGATACAAAAATAAAAAGAGGAAATAGGATCAAAGCGAGTGAGGACGCACATACACACACAGAAGAGGTGCAGGACGCAAAGATGGGAAAACTCGCTGACTAAGACTCAAAATGGCACTGCAGCCCGTGCACTGCTAACACACATGAAAAATGATTTACCAAAAACAAAAATTACTCCTAAATACGTATTCACAAAACAAAAAACAAAATTGTCGTGGAAGGCCCCTCTGCGATCCTCAGCTCATCCTCACATTTTGGCCGCAGATAAAAATAAAAAAATAATGATACATTCGTTTCAACCACTAAAAACCCAGGTGTCCAGACACCGTTTGACTTCCACAGGGGCCCGCAGTGCGTTGCTCTAGCTCTCTTTTCTTTCCTCCTTCCTTCTCCCATCGGCGGACACACAATGCCGAGAGCGTCCGCAGTCGCCAAAGAAAAGCGGTTAGTTGTTTTTCTTAGTGTCTTTTCGAACGAATTCAGTGGCCTGCGCGTCAGCCAGCACCGTGGCACACGTCCGCACCCACCACAAACAAGGACGTAAAAAAGAAAGCCACGGTCCCTCCTGCGGCGACCGCAGTGCGGGGGCGCAGTGAAGCGTGTCCCCCTTCCAGACAAACATGCAGGATCAACGGAGTCGTCAAGAACAAACCAAGAAAACAAATAACCAACAAAAACACACAATCACAAATCGATCAACAAACAATATAGTGAACAGATGAAAACAAAAAAAAGGTGATTCGCCTCCAATCATTGCCAGAAGCGAACAATATAAAAAAACAAAAAAAGAACAGAATGGAATAAACGAAGACACCGCAATCATGGCGCCTAAAGAAGAGCGCAATTATTGGGTATAAGAAAAAAAAACGAGGTATAAAACAAAATACGTGCCCATCTACGACTTTATTTAGTGTAAAAAGTGGAGGAGAAACGGAGATGCTCTCAGTAGAAGCACAAACTCCGATCCACCGGGGTCCACTCAACACAGGGCAACTAAGCCCCATAGACCCAATAGCAGCAGCAACAACCGAGACACACACCCACGCACCGCATCGTCACCTGCAAGTTTCTCATAGGCAGCGTAGCTGTCACCTGCACGCCGCTCATAGGCATCGGAGCTGTCACCTGCAACTTCTTCGGATGCATCAAAGCTGTCACCTGCATGTTCCTCGGATGCTTTAAAGCTGTCACCTGCATGTTCTTCGGATGCATTAAAGCTGTCACCTGCATGTTCCTCGGATGCATTAAAGCTGTCACCTGCATGTTCCTCGGATGCTTTAAAGCTGTCACCTGCATGTTCCTCGGATGCTTTAAAGCTGTCACCTGCATGTTCCTCGGATGCATCAAAGCTG